ACACATACACACGCACACGCACATACACTCACACATACACACGCACACACACACACACACATACACATGCACACACACACACACGCTCACTCACGCACGCACGCACGTACACGTACACATTAACTCTGACTGCAGGGCGACGGCTCGCTGCGTGCCGCAAGTGGAAGGCCGTGTTACAGCAAGCAGAGAACTTGACAAAGCGCGCAAAGACAGACGCCACCACTACCAGCACCAGCACGTGTGATGGTGATGATCAGGATTCGGTGCGCGACACCGTTGGACTCGTCGCCGTGCACACAAGCGGTGCCATTATTGCAAGTGAGCGCATTCACAAAAGCGCGTACACACACACACATGAACCATGCAACGAAATTGCCTTTGTTCACACACATTCACATCGTCATCATCTTCTTCATCATCTCTGTTACCATGCGTGTGTGTGTGCAGTTGTGTCGAGCGGCGGCCACATCCTCAAGGACGACGGGCGTGTTGGTCTGGCAGGCGTGCCAGGAGCAGGGTCAGAGCATGTGCATGCGTGCGTGTGTGTGCATGCGTGCGCGTGTGTGTGTGTGTGCGTGTGCGGGGGAGGGTGTCGGCGATAATGTCCGCTGTATGTTGACTGTTGACGTCGTGTGTACTGGTTCCGTTCAGCGTTTGGGTTGATCCACAGAACCACGAGGACGGGACCATTACGCAATCAGCAACCATCACAACAGGTTGGACACGACGCAACACATGGATGGTGTCAAAGGCTCCACTGGATACACAACAAGGCACACAGGTGGACAGACAAACACGCAACACACTCGCACATTAACTCACACACACGCACGCGCACACACGCACACACGCTTTCTCTCTCTCTGTCTCTCTCTCTCTCTCGCTCTCTCTCTCTCTCTCGCTCTCTCTCTCGGTCATCAGGCACGGGGGAGGACGTGCTGTCCACGATGCTGGCGAGGGGGTGCACACGCGACGCCGTGGCGAAGTTTCGTCAAAGGTTCCCTTCCACAGCATTCGCAGCCCTCTCCCTTACACTGACCGGAACCAAACACAGGTGGGCAGGCACACGAAGCATCACGCTCTGCTCACACGCACGGCACAGTGTTGCTCAGCATGTATTGTGTTTTGTTGCTGCTTTGTTTGATCGTCTCACCACACACACACACACACACACACACACACACACACACACACACATACACATACACATACACGCACGCATACACACACGCACACACACTCTCTCTTCTCTCTCAGGGATGCTGGTGAGGTGCAATTGACACGCGCGACCATCGATGTGTCGCAACAGCATGCCGGGCTTGTCTTTGGATACGCAACACACCACGCAGAGCCAGAGGTACATGGTTGCACATTGCCGAACTCGAGTCGTCTCAGTCCATCGCTCCCATTTACAGGCACCTCGACCACCCTCACTCCAACTGCACACACACACACACACACACACACACACACACACACACACACACACACACACACACACACACACACACACACACACACATAGACATTTATGAAGGTGTCGCCGCATCAGCAGATTGCAGTCTCACTTGACGGCCAACGGGAGCAGTAATGTGATGTGATATGCAAAGCTCAGTGGCAGCGTGCATGTAAACGTGCATCGGTTTTTACTTGAAGAGAGCGACGATTGGCGCGTGTGAGATCACGGTGACGATAATGTGAAGAGCATTGGTATGATTGATGGAAGGAGAGCAAGTAAGTTAGCGCTACAGCTGTTACTATCGCCCCTGCGTGAACCAGCCAATAAACAAGCTGCAGTAGCGGCAAACACACATACACAGGGCAAATATGACGAAAACACGAAGACGAATGCAAAGTGACCACATCATGTTGGCAATGCCTTCATGAGGGCACTGGCAAAAAGAGGGATACAATCCATGCAAGGTTACTCGTCACTTAAAACACTTTGATGCCCAGCACTTGGAATACGCGGCCAAGCCTCTGACAAACCGTTACACACACAGACACAGACAGACACAGACAGACCCAGATAGACACAGACAGACCCAGACACACAGACACACAGACACAGACACACAGACACACAGACACACAGACACAGACACACACACACATCGACACAAACACACGCACACACATACACTGGTCCGTGGAGCACAACCGAGAGAGGGGAAAGACAAAGCTAGTTGAGGTGGTGGTATGCTCGCATCGGGTAGACCTGGCGCACTTGTCGGCTGCGGTCAATCTTGCCATCGTACACCTTGAGCATCTCCCGGCGGGCAACGTCCATGCGTGCACGCAGCGGCTCAAGCGCCTCATTCGCATGCGCAATCAGGCGCTGGTGTGTGTGTGTGTGTGTGTGCGTTGGTAGTTGGGGTGGAGAGTCGAGCGGCCAGGTGAGTGAGTGAGGTAGCTTCTTCTCCTTCTTTGCATTCAAAGAAGCACGCACACACACACACACACACACACATACACACACACACACACACACACACACGCG